GAGAGAGGACGGGACATAAATATTGATGTAAGAGAAACATCAATTGGTTAACTCTCAGAGGCTCCTTGACTGGGGCTCAAATCCACAACCTGGGTATGTACCCTAACCAGGAATTGATCCCACAGCCTTCAGTGCACAGGACAATGCTCCAACCAAGCCATACTGGCCAGGGCTTAGAATGTTCGTTTTTAAAGCATAGTTTAGTTGACAGGTTTTTGTGGGGTTTTTTTCACCGTTTTGTGTCATTCCATTGTCTGCTGGACTCCATTGTTTCTGGTGAAAAGTCAGCCTCTAATTATATTATTGTTCCCATGTGAGTTGTTCCCATGGTGAGTCATTATGGCCTCAGTACTTTCCAGATGGAGGTATGTATTAATCCTCAGAGTGACCTCATGTAGTAGTTACTTTATTATCCTCTTTTGCAAAAGTGGAAACTGAGGACCAGAAAGGTCAGCGGAGTTAAGAACATGTAATGAAGCCTAGGCTCCTTATAGGGTATGTACAGCCTCCAATTTTGAGGCCTTCATGGTAGTTAAACTTGTTGCATAGAAGTCTTGTGTTGTGCTTCTCAAAATAATCCTACACTATCTCTGGGTACCTGCAGTGACTCTGGAACAGAGCTAAAGGGATGTTGGAAGACACCTGCTCACCATCTTGCCTGTGGCCAGCAACTGCCATTCAATGTACTCTCCACATATTCATTGAGGAAGAGCTTAAGCTTAGTTCAGGCAATGAGCTCAAAAAAAAGGACTGTGTTAGCATCCTGAAATAGGAGACACAAGCCTTCAGCTGATAATGGGACATACTGAAGGGGCATGTTAACTTTATCTTTGTTTGGAGTCATTATCTGTATCTTTCCTTCCTCCTTAAGGGAAAGTGTAAAGATCTGAGATTTTTGTGGGTGATTTTTTTAAAAGAAAAAGGTTATGTAAATTTTAAAAAGTAGCAATAATGAATATACTAAATAGTGTCATGTGACATTCACAGTGAGACTGTTTTTAAAGTAAATGAATACGTACGAGGCCTGTCCAGAAAAAGTCCAGCCATTGTTAAAATAACAAGAATGGCTTGCACAACATCATGTAACCTCGAAGCCAAGGAGAGTGAACTGGAATGCATATGCATGAACAAAGATGACTTCACTGTACCAGTCAGTGGGGACAGTAAATGCCACTGAGTGAGCATGTGTACTATGTGTCCGTCACATTCAAAATGACTGAGCAAGTAGAGCAACAAATCTGCATCAGATTTAGCATCAACCTTCAACATTCCTCCATGGAAACTATTCAGATGATTCAGAAGGCTGCAGCTATGGGCAACTGGTGATTGGTTACTTCATCACAAAAATGTTCCTGCTCATGCATCATGTCTCTTGCTGTTTTTTGGTGGAACCAAACCACCCAGCTGACTCAGCCCTGCTACAGCCCAGATGTGGTACCCCGCGACTTCTGGCTTTTCCCAAAACACAAATCACCTTTGAAAGGGAAGAAATTTCAGACTGGCAATGAGATTCAGGAAAATATGACAGGACAGCTGATGACGATTGGGAGATCTGTGTGAGGTCCCCAGGTGTCTACTTAGAAAGGGACTGAGGCATCAGTGTCCTGTGTACAATTTATATCTTGTATCTTCAGTAAATGTGTCTTGTTAGTACGTGGCTGAGTACTTTCTGGACCAACTTCATAGATCTCTTTGTGTTCATCATACTTTGGATCGTTGAGCTTCTTAGTTTTGGCAGATTAATGTTCAACATCAGACCTAGGAATGTGTTGGCTATTATCAATTCAAATAATTTTTCAGTCCTATTTTGTTTCATACTTCCTTTTGTATGATTTCTGTTATCTACCTGTATGTTTGTATACTTTGTGTTATATGACATGTTTCTTCAGTGTTATTTTTCTTCAGTCATTTAGTTCTCTTTTTTCAAGTTGGAGAGAGTCTACATTGATCTATCTTTAAGCTCACCGATTCATTTTTCTGACATTTTCATCTGCTATTGAGCCCCTCCTGTTAATTTTTCATTTTAATTGTACTTTTCAAATCCATAATTTCTCTTTTATTTCTTTTTTATCATTCTGTAGTTTTTTTATTTTTTTATTATTGTTTATTACAATTGACCCAATTTTCCCCACTTTACCCTCCTCCACCCTCCACAGTCCTCACTCCAACAGTCATTCCCTACACCATTGTCCTTGTCCATGTCCATAGTCTTTCACACATGTTTTTGACTAATCCCTTCCACTTATGTATACCATCTCTGTCTGCACATTCCCCTCTGGCAGCTGTCAGTCTGTTCATGATTTCATGACTCTACTTCTGTTTTGCTTGTTAATTAATTTTGTTCATTGGATTCCTTTTATAAGTGAGATCATACGGTATTTTGTCTTTCACCAGCTAGCTTATTTCACTAGTTTAATAGTCTCCAGTTCTAACCATGCGGTGTCAAAAGGTAGCAATTCCTTCTTTCTGATACGTAGTATTTCATTGTCTAAATGTACCACACTTTTTTAATCCACTCATCTACTGATAGGCACTTGGGCTATTTCCAACACTTGACTATTATAAACAGCACTACTATAAACATTAGGGTACATAAGTTCTTTTGAATTGGTGTTTGGGGAGTCTTGGGAATACTTGCTGTATTCCCAGCAGTGGAATTGCTGGATCAAAAGGCAGTTCCTTTTTTAGTTTTTTTTAGGATATTTCAGCCTATTTTCCACAGTGGCTACACCAGTCTGCATTCCCATCAGCAGTGCTCCCTATTCTTCACATTCTCACCAGCACTTATTTTTGCTGATTTATTAATGGTAACCACTTTGGCACGTGTGAGGTGGTATCTCATAGTGGTTTTAATTTACATCTCTGATAACTAGTGATGTTGAGTATTTTGTTATATGTCTATGGTCCGTCTGTATGTCCTCCTTGGAGATGTGTCTATTCAGGTACTTTGCCCATTTTTGATTGGATTGTTTGTCTTCCCAGTGTTGAGTCATATTCTTTATATATTTTGGAGATTAAACCCTTGTTTGATACATCATCGGTAAATATGTTCTCCCATATAGTTGGTTCCCTTTTTATTTTGATTATAGTTTCTTTAGCTCTGCAGAAGCTTTTTAATTTGGTATAGTCCCATTTATTTTTTTCCCTTATTTGCCTTCCCTAGGAGATATAACAGCAAAAGATTACTATGGGAGATATCTGAAATTTTACCACCTGTGTTTTTCTCTAGGACTTTAAGCTATCACCACTTATATTTAAGTATTTTGTCCATTTTGAGTTTAGTCCGGTATATGGTGTAAGTTGGTGGTCTAGTTACATTTTTTTGCATGTACCATTCCGGTTGCCCCAACACCATTTATTGAAGAGGCTGTCATGCCCCCTTTGTCAAATATTAGTTGACCGTAGATACATGGATTTCATTTTGGGCTCTCATATCTGTTCCATTAATATATGTGTCTGTTCTTACGCCAGTCTCATACTGTTTTGATTACAGTGGCCCTGTAGTATAGTTTGATATCAGGTATGATCCCTCCAACTATGTTCTTTCTCAAGATTGCTGAGGCTATTCGGGGTCATTTTTGTTCCATATAAATTTTTGAAATATTTGTTATAAGTCTGTGAAATGTGCCATTTTTATTTTAGTAGGAATTGCATAGAATCTGTAGATTGCTTTGGGTAGTATGGACATTTTGATGATGTTAATTCTTCCAATCCATGAACATGGTATGTTTCCATTTATTTGTATCTTCCTCAAATTCTTTCTTCAGTGTTTTTTTCTTTCTTCTTTAGTTTTCCAAGTACAGGTCTTTAACCTCCTTGGTTAAATTTATTTCTAGGAACTTTATTTTTTTGTGCTAGACTAATGGGTTTTTTTCCTTAATTTCTCTTTCTGATAATTCATTTTTGCTGTACAGAAATTCCATCCATTTCCAAATATTGAGACTTTGTATCCCACTATTTTTCCAAATTCACTTACTAAGTCAAGTAGTTCTTTGTTGGAGACTATAGTAGGGGTGTCCAACCTTTTGGCATCTCTGCACCACACTGGAAGAAGTCTTGGGCCACACATTAAATACATTGCAACATGTATTCACAAAAAAAATAAATAAAAATAAAAACCTTATAATGTTCTAAGTAAATTTATAATTTTTTTGTCGGGCTGCATTTACAGCCATCCTAGGCTACATGTAGCCTGCAGGTCACAGATTAGACACCCCTGCTAGGGTTTCTTATGTAGACTATAATGCCATTTGCAAATAATGAAAGTTTTACTTCCTCCTTTCCAGTAGGATGCCTTTTATTTATTTCTTCCTGCTGATCACTGTGGCTGGAACTTTCAGTACTATGTTGAGTAGAAGTGGTAAAAGCGGACTCCTCTGTATTCTTCCTCATCTTAAGAGAAAAGCTTTTAGTTTTTGTGCATTGATTATGATGTGAGATGTTCTAATTTGTTGAGTTTATAATTTGTTAATTATGATACTTGGCATTATAATCTTTGTGTCTGGCAGTATAAGTGTTTCCTGCCTTGTTCTTCTTTAAGTTTGCTATATACTCTTCTGTATGGATTATTTAATTAACATGTGAGTTTTACTGAAAATACTACTGGCATTTTGGGGGGAATTATAATAAATCGATTGATTGATTTTATAGAGTATTTCTTTACAATAATGAATCTTTATGAGATTTTTGTTTACTTAGCTCTTTATTTAAAGTCCTTCAGTAAAGTTTTAAATTTTTTCCTTAACCTTCTAAGGAGAGCTGTAGGATTTATCATCATAATTGATATTTTTATTTTATCCTAATTTATTACTCTTATTATTTATTTTTGCATATTTATTTTGTATGTCACATCCTTAATGAAATCTTTTATTAGTTGATATGTTGTTTTGTATTTACTATTTCTATTTATTATCACTCAGTTAATACAAATGGGAAGATACTGTATACATAATTAATTTTATTCTTTTTCTACATAAGATTTTTGTCTGTTTGTTTTTAAGGCTTTCTGTGAAACTTTAGAGGAGACAAACTACCGTTTTCAGAAAGAATTACTTGAAAAACAAAAAGAGGTGGAGTCACTGAAGAAACTGCTCAGTGAGAAGCAACTATGTATAGAGACGCTAGAGAAAAGGATCAGGTGTGTTTCGATACCTACATTTCTAGTCTAAGTCAACTCTCTACTCTAGGATAAACACCCTTTGTATTTAATATGCTTTAGGAAATTTCTAATTTAAACATCATAGACTCTTCATGTCCTTCCTTGTAGATTGAGAAAATTTATTTTTCAGTTATTTATTTAGGAGATTGAACATTTGAAAGATGGGAACCTTCAGGATACTAAGCCTCTAGCTGTTCAACAGGATAAACATTATTCATTTTAACCTATTTAAATGACAGCTTTGTTTCTAGGCATTTATGCCAAATTTTCACATACAAAAGTTTTAGTTTGCTGTCTCATCAGCATGCACTGAATTGATGCTGAAATCATTTTAAATTAACCATAAATAATAATGTTTTTGTTCACTCCCAGTCAGTAATTTATTAGCCATATGACTATATTAAGACTTAACAGCCAAAGACAATGAAAGCTACATATATTAACAACAAACATACATAATTTTTTCCTGAAGACATTTGATAGGAAAATAACTTATTATAATTTACTCCTAGAGCATTGTGTTTAGAACCTGAGGAGTCACTGCACTTGTCAGGTGCAGAAGGTGAACAGGTCCTAAAGGTGGATGCCCCTGTACTTCAGGTTGATCAAGAATTCTTGTGTGAAGAATCCAGGTATATAATGTTTAGTTTATTATAGCCTAATCATCTGAATAACTGGAGGGAAATTGTTATAATACTCAATAGAGTATCTTTTACACGGCCATTCATTGTTGCACCATGAATCTGCTGAGCACACAGAGAAAGACTGTAGGTATTCTAGGCTACCCATTAACACTGAGCCTTTGGCAGGTAGGCTCTAAGATTTTTTATAAAAATACCTAATTTGAAGCTATGTCTGAATTAACTGGGCTCTGAGTCAGTTAATTAATTTGGTAAATTTTGACAAATTAATCTCCCACAATGTCAGTCCTTTTCCATTTAAAGTGTGGGACACTGTAATAGCCACTACCCTGCCTACATGATAGAAATGACAAAAGTAGTATTTTTAAAAGCCCATAGAATTTGTATTGCATATAAATCCAAGCTAATTATTAATACTTTACCAGTAATTATTAAGCTATAATTATGACAATAAATTTCATGTTTGTAAGGGTAATCACAAACTAGATTTTTATTGATAAATGGTTGTTGGGAGAGCTAATAGAATTAAAAATATATCTCTAAAAGTTCTTTGGCAGTGAGAAGCGGAAAATATTATATTATATTTTTTCATTAAATATTTAAATACTCTTTACATAAAAGATTTTTAAAGGTAATAGCATGAATTCAGCCTTGACAGTGATATGTTTCTCTTTCTTTACAGAGCTGATGAGAAGTCATGCTTAAGTTTTAGTGAACCTGAAAATTCTGTGTCAGAGGTAGAAGTAGCAGAAGTGGCTTATCATGCAGAAGAAGACTAATCCATCATAGACATTCCTTCCCTTTCTACATCTCAGCAGCTTTAGATTATTTACTGAAAATATAAGAATGCACATGTATAAAGTTTACATGAAGAAAAGTTTTTTTAAGTTATGGGGATAAGAAATATATTCACTGATGCTTTAAGTTGCCTTTTATTCAACCTTCGGATTTAATACACTAAAAAAAAAATCTAGTTAGAGTTCTGCTATCAAGACCTACATTCTTAAATACTGTGCATAAATTATTTTGGGGTTTTTTGTCAGTATATTGCTCCAAACTACCAATATGTGTTTATGTTACCAGTTATATTAGTCAAATGGAAATTTATTGCATGTTGCTCTCACTATCTGGTTGAGATATACTTCTTTGTGTATCTGCCATGGTTTAAATATGAAAGAACTAAGTTTTAAATATTGAAATGTTTACCATCTCAGAATAAAAACCACTTATTTAGAATGCTACTATAAAAGTAGAAAACTTTGTAGTACCAAAGGAAAATTATTTGACATAGCTGTGATAATATAGCTAAAGTACTAAAACAGCCTTGATTTTGAAAGTTAATTCATTTATGTCAAAATACTAAAGTATCCTGATTTATTGTTATACTTGTTTATTTTCTACATAATCTTTATCTTAAATCTCTACCTAGAGATTTAAGAATCAGTGAGTTTGCCTCTTTGAGACCACTACCTCTTTTTGCTAATCAAGGCATACTCTTTTGAAAATATATTATGGATTCTAAGCAAACAAGGAGTTATTCAAAAAAATACAAATAAAAAGCCACACGCTTTGATGTGGCACACACACACACACACAAAGTTCCTAACTATGTAGACTCCTGGCATTGCATGTCTATATGTGTAAATATGTTGCTATATTCTATTCTTGGTGATTTTCTTTTTCATTTATCTAGCAAGTGATGCACTTTATGGTAATTAAAGTCTTTTGTGCCAAGTTGAATTGGTGAATTTCTTTAGTGAGTACAGTTACGACCTTCCGTACTTCACTTTTTACAAGTCTCCTGGGGTCTGCTTATTTAGCTTTACAAAAAGGTGTCCATTTCTGTTTTGTGTACAGTTGTCAGAAGTGCCTTGTTTCATTTTTATAGTGTGGTGTTATTCATTTTCTATTTTTGCTGTTTTGCATATTGCTGTTAGTAAGCATCATAATCATGCTAGCATTTTGAGATGCTAGTTGGTATATTGTACTCCATATACCTGTTAAAAACTGAGGGGAACTTGCTGGGGAAATAAAATACCAAGCTTCATTTTTTTTTCACTCACTGTCTAAAAGTGTGTCAGTATCTTAAATGTATTAAGATGTCATTATTTAAAATTCTACTCACATACATGAACAGATCCAATGGCAGTTTCTCATCTTTGATTTAAAAAGGAGGCTACTTTTTACCAAAATACCAAAAATTTTAAAAGTCTTATGTCAAAATGCCCCAGGTATGCACTGTCTCAGAGTATTTTCCACAAAGTGTACCAGAAATGTGTTTAATAGCCTGGGAGAAAGAAAGAAAACATAACACACTGGTCTACTTGTATCTTTTAAAATATTATTTTAGGTTTAAAAAGAACAATCATTTAAGTTAATGTACTTTTTCATTTAGTAAAATGAAAAATTTAGCACATGATTTTCTGTGCTAAATTTCAGATATTATAACACTACATGTCTGTTTTAAAGTAAACCATACAGTTTCAAAATCTGGTCTTTCATAAGATTATATTCAAATTTGAAACGAGTGAGGGAAAATTCTTATTAATTAGGAAAGCCACTATTATTTATATTTAGAATTTACTTTTTTACTTTTATAATGCATTTTATTCCCAGTATTATATTTGTTTAATAAATTGTTTTTTTCAGTACATAGTAGCTGTGTTATTCAGATATTGAATACTATCCCTTCCAGTTTCTACGTTCTTTTCCCATCCCAACAATTATTGTAAATTTAGTTGTAGTTAACTGCTGCATTTCACAGGTGTGTGATGAGTTTTTCAGTTTACACTTTATATTAAGTCTTCGTGAAAAGGTGCAATATACTTCAAATGTAACCAACATTAATTAAAAGATTGAACATAACTGAAACAAAACTCTTTTGTGGGTAATCTTTTAACCTTTGAAAAATGAAGTTTACAAACAGTACAACAATAAAGTGTAGCATTTTAAACTGTATTATCTCTCTGCCATATAGATATTAGCTACTGAAAGCACATTTATTTAGAAAACCATGTTCCTGAGATAAATCATCTGTGTAGTCTACTTCAACTGTCTGTGACATTATAGGGAACATTGTGGCCTTACGTCTAAAAATAACTTGGTTTTGAAATGAATTTTGTAACTTACTTTTAAGGATTGTGTTAAAAACAAGTTTGTATCCCCAACTAGGAAATACGGAAAATCTAAATCTTATCCTCTGGGATATTTCCACAGAGCTTCACATCTGACCCACATTTTGACTCATCACAGAATTAACTTTTCTTTTGGCATTGTACTTTTTTTCTATGTTGTCGTTTTCTATTAGTAAAAACAGTCATCAAAGCTTGTATTTTTAATAATGTGTTTCTAAAGCTGATAGGTGTACCACATGTTAAAAAGATCTCTCAGGTCTCAGCTCTAGTAACCCTGTGCTTCTCCTGAACAGTTGACTACTTTTCTTTTATATGTGATAGACTCTGTTACCGTCTTTTCTTGTGTTTTTTGGTCAGTTCTGAGTCCAATTGTCACCTGTAGCCTGCTATATGGAACCTCATGAGTTACAGCTTTTCATAATAAACATGACTTTATTTTCCTACTTAATTTTCTCTAACCTCCAATTTACCCTCCCTATTTAAGTTCTATTATGAAATATGTATTTTTGTTCCGATAAAGCCCCAAATTTGAATATTTTAGACTACATGTGGTAAGAACTTGTTATAGCCTGTACTAACACGCCTAACCGCACCATTAAGTGATGCCAATAATCACGTAAAGCTCAATTGTTCTTTTCTTTAAAAGATGCCTTTAAGTGCAATCAGCCTGTGTAACACAGGCTTAGAAATGCTGGCTAGTAGGAAGCTCTGGGTAGGTTCTTCATTAGGGCACATATTGAGAAACTCAGATGATGGTTTTCTCCATAGCCTCAAATTAGAACAGACTCCACTTGCCACTTGCTTACTGAAGAAATTGGAACAATGTCATTGTCTCCAAACAAAACAATGAAAACCAGTACAGCCGATGTACTTTCCAATGAAAGCTAGGATTTTATTGTAATAGAGACAGGTGAGGATAGGTACAATTTTCAATACCCTCATTGTAATGTTTGCAGGCTAGCTAACTGCAGTCAGAGATATATTAGTGTTAGATGATGGCTCAAGTCCTTTGCTAAAGTGTAAAATGCAAGCCCACCTTGGGGGAACCAAGGGTAAACTGGAGGACCCTCCAGAATTAGCTCATCTGTAGATCTATTCCAGATCCTGCTCAGTAAACACCATACAAGGACTAATCCAACAGATGTTTGCATTGCCCTCAAAATCAGAATTGGATGAACTATATAGTTAACCCTTGAACGATGTGGGGGTTAGGGGTACCAAACCCAGTCAGTCAGAAATCCATATATAACTCTTGAGTCTGTAGCCAGACCTTCATGTCTTTAGTTTCAAACAACCAGAAATCAAAAGTATTTTTGCCTTCCCACATGCAGATTCACAAGACTGAAGAGAAAATACTGTTTTCAATCCATGGTGGTTGAATCTGCACATGAGGAACACATGCTTAGGAAGGGCCCGCTATCAACAAAAACCTGCATGTAAGTGTACCTGTGCAGGTCAAACGCCTGTTGTTCGAGGGTACTGTGCATTTCTCAGCTCCTTGCAGCTGTAATTGAACCTGTGATATGACCTTGGCCAGTGAGACAAATGAAGTCTGCTGTAAGCTTCTAGAATAGCTTGCTTTTCCTTTAAGAGGGCAGACACACTGCTGTGAGACTTCCCCTCTTGTTTTGATTTCAGATGTTGCCCAGTAGTGCTGTGGAAGCCACTTGGCAAAAAGGTGTGACAAGTGAGGGAAGAATGAGAATCACAGAGATGGCCAGCTTCTTGTTAAGCCCTATAATTGTAATGTTTTATTAGCTATGGCAACACAAAAGCCATCTTCAGTTTGGGTTGTAGATTCTAAGCTGGGTAGGGGAGGCTTTTTTCCCACCCTTGATCCTACTCCATTTGGCTTTGTCCATGTGTCTTTTATACATTTTCCTTGGCGACACTTCCCCTTTTTTCCTTTATCCCAAAGAGGGGTATGTGGGATGGGAGTGAGGTATGTGGTGGGGGAAAAATTGAGACATCTGTGCTTGAACAACAATAAAAAATAAATATTTAAAAAGAAGGGGGAAAAAGGCTTTTCTTGTGGCAATAATGTATATTTTGTTAGCAAAGAAAAAATTAAGGGAGAAATTTTTTTCTTGAAACTAAAGGGCAGATAAACACCTGTCAGACGTACGAGACCATGCTTACTTCTGAACCTTCTTTTGGCAAACCAGATATGAAAAAAAAAATGTATTGTACATATAGGTTATAGTCTGCTTGGGCTGCTGTAACATAATACTATGAACTGGGTGGCTCAAACGATTAACATTTACAGCTCTGGAGGCTGCAAGTCCAAGATTAAGGTACCAGCAAGGCTGGTGCCAGGGGGACTTTCCTTTTAGGTACAGACACTGACCTTTTGTGTGTCACAAGGACTTTCTCCAGTGCATTTGGGGAGAGCAAGCTCATAAGGACATCAGTCCTGTTGGATTACTGCCCCACCCTTATGACCTCATTTACCTTTAATTAGTGCCTTAGAGACCCCATTTCCAAATACACTGGGGATTTAGGGATTCTACATAGGAATTTGGGAGAACACAAACATTCAGTATATAAAGGGTGATGTAACATTAAATGTTCACAAAGATATTTCTGTTTGAAAATTAAATAGCCTATTCATTCATTTGTTCAACAAACATTGAATATCCACTGTGTGTTGCTCTGGGTTATAAAAGTTACTGAGAAGTACATGATCCCTTCAAGGAGTTCAGGGTGGTGTGGCTTTTTATACAGGCTCGTCAGTGTACAGTGTACAGCATTGTGGGAAATGTGATAGGCATTTGTGATGGATTATGGAAACGAGAGCTGCAAAGGAGGCAAAGATTGGCAAGAAGTGTAAGTCTACTGCTTTAGCTGCTTCTTAAAAGTGCACTAGATGGGCACGATGAACAGGAGAGTCAGCTCTTTTCCTCTCACCCAGTGTATCTCCTCCAGGTCCAAAGTACAGTGGACTCCACACGACCATGAAATTCACCTCAAATGTTTATTGTAATTTAATGCTCACATGTGTAGATTCATTTGCCAATATTCTGATAGAGGTTTGAGGTCTTTCTTCAGTGTCATTTCACTAATGATAGATCCTGTGTGTCCCTTACTAATCCAAACCCCTAATGCATTTTCTGATCCTGTGGTTTCTGTGGCATGAAGACATGAGATATGTATGAAGGAATCTGTAACAGAAAGCTGCCTTTACTATTTTTTTTAAATTCTGAACTGCTATGTTGCCTCTTACCAAGTCTTTCCAAATTATCTGATTTAGTTTTTCCTGGAAATGATCATTTATTCTCGTATGTCATTGTTTCATATGCTACCACTATATTTAAAAATTAATTTCAATACAGCTAGCATACACAAGTTCAGAAATAAGACAGGTGATGGTGGTGGCGCATGGAGAGACAGGAGTGTGCAGTTGTTCTAGGCGGGACTGACCAGACAGGATTATTCATGTGTCATGGATGTCTGTGAGTGCATTTTACGGAACAGATAGAAGACCGTGGCAAGTCAATTAAGTGTGTGTGCTGAGGTTGGGAGGCTAGGGGGTGACTTTCCTTATACATTGATGCTATCCTGTTCATTTCCACTGCCATCATCCTGGTCCAAATCACCAAATCTATTATTTCAGTATCTCTCCAATCAGTGAGATACTGAAATAGTTTGATAGCTCTGTTCTCACTTTGCCCCACTATGTTCCATCTCCTACATCTCCCATGATAGCCATTGTGTTCTTTTTGAAAAATGGAAATCATACCATGTTTTTTCTGTACTTAAAAAACTCCTATGCACCCTAGTGTTCATAGCACCACAATTTACAATAGCCAAGTGTTAGAGGAAACGTAAATGCCTATCAGTATATGAGTGGATCGAAAAACTATGGTACATTCACACAATGGAATACTGTGCAGCAGAAAGAAGGAGCTCCTGCTCTTTGCAACAGCATGGATGGATCTGGAGAGCATTCTGCTAAGTGAAATAAGCCAGGCAGTGAAAGACAAATACCATATGATCTCACCTATAAATGGAACCTAATCAATGAAACAAGCAAAATATAACCAAAGACATTAAAATAAAGAACTGGACCTCCAGCCAAGATGGAGGTATAGGTAGACACACTGCTTATTTGCACAACCAAAAGGACAACAATTTAAAAATAAAAAACAACCAGAACTGACAGAAAATCAAACTGTATGGAAATTCAACAACCAAGGAGTTGAAGAAGACACATTCATCCAGACTGGTGGGAGGGTCTGGGTTGGGCAGCCAGGGTGGAGAGGACTCACGGCAAGGCAGTGGCTGGAGGACCAGGGAGGACAAGGCTGCAGCTGGCAGATCCAGTGAGGTGACAGATTGTGGAACGAGGCACACAAGGCTGCAGCTGGCCGGCAAGGCAGCAGTGGACCGGGCAGTCCCACATTCGCATGCAGATAAACCAGGCTAAATAAAGGAAGAGTGGGAACTCCCAGCCTCACAGGAAAGTTCACTGGAGAGACCCACAGGGCCCTAGAATGTACATAAACCCACCCACTTAGGAATCAGCACCCAAAGGGCCCAATTTGCTTGTGAGTTACCCCACCCTGGTGAACATCTAAGGCTCTGCCCCTCATACATAACAGGCATGTCAAGATTTTTAAAATGGCCCAAATGAAAGAACAGATCAAAGCTCCAGAAAAAATACAATTAAGCAATGAAGAGATAGCCAGACTATCAGAAGCACAGTTTCAAAACATTGGTAATCAGGATGCTCACAGAATTGGTTGAATTTGGTCACAAATTAGATGAAAAAAATGAAGGCTACACTAAGTGAAATAAAGGAAAATGTACAGGGAATCAATAGTGATGGGAAGGAAACTGGGACTCAAATCAAGAGTGTGGACCAGAAGAAAGAATGAAACGTCCAATCAAAAAAGAATGAAGAAACAAGAATTCAAAATAATGAGGAGAGGCTTAGGAACCTCCAGGACATCTTTAAACATTCCAACATCCAAATTATAGGGGTACCAGAAAGAGAAGAGGAAGAGCAACAAGTGGAAAAGTTATCTGAACAAATAATAAAGAACTTCCTCAATCTGGCAAAGGAAATAGACTTCTGGGAAGTCCAGGAAGCTCAGAGTCCCAAAGAAGCTGGACCCAAGGAGGAACACACCAAGGCACATCATAATTACAGTAGCCAAGATTAAAATGGAGAGAATTCTAGAAGCGGCAAGAGATAAGGAGGCAGTTACGTACAAAGGAGTTCCCATCAGACTGTCATCTGATTTCTCAAAAGAGACCTTATAGGCAAGAAGGTGCTGGAAAGAAGTAT